AAAAATTACTGACGTCTTGTGTTATTCATGTTGGAATACATTGAAGGCTTCGTTACATTTAACATCCAGATCGCTCCAGTAGCCCATACTATGAATGGTCGTGCTTCTCAGTTAGGTGAATGATTCACTTAGGGGCAAACATTTTGCCCCTGAAGAAGAAAGGTCCACCTTTCGAAAGCGCTCGGGTTATATGGTTTTATTCATTTCTATCAAGACTTCTTGAACCTACATGTTTTTCTAACATTATGAATGATTCACTTGGGAGTTAATGAGATCAGAATAAGGGTGAATGAGTATTATCAGTTATACAACAAATACAAGAGCAAAAAAAAGTCATTAGTTATTATTATTTATTCTAGTTGTAGATTGATAAATGCATTTTTTGTTTTACGTTGTATTATTTGTAGTTGTAGTTTGATGTATATTTAAGTCATAATAAAGAATTTTACATTTTAATTTGGTACTGATATTGGAAAAGATTAAGAAACATTGTTCTAGTCGAATCGAAGTACAAGCTAGGCCTACAAATTATAATTTTAGATTTAATCCATTTAGTTATATCTAAAGAATATTATGTAACAAAGTAACACCGCCATGGTCGTTTTGTCTAAGCTCGGCCAACGAATTCAAATCTAGATTTATTTTAAAAAATCAGTACTGTACTTAAACTAGGCCACATCGTGAAATATGATCCCTTCTCGATTTGTAGCACACGAAAGCATTTATCATTTTTACCCTAATTTTATGTTTTTCTGTGTATTAAAATTATGTCATACAGTTGAAAGTGTTTTGAGGTCTAACGTGTAGCTTTACGTTAAGCCCATACTCGGTAAGTTACCCGAATGATTCAGTCCTTATATTTCACCCGTTTCCAATTAACGCCTGAATACGTCTGCTAATTCACCTTCCTTTTTGTTTTATAATATAGATTTGATAGCTATCGTCTGCTTATCTCTGTAAACGTTCATCTTCCTTTTTGTTTTATAATATAGATTTGATAGCTATCGTCTGCTTATCTCTGTAAACGTTCATCTTCCTTTTTGTTTTATAATATAGATTTGATAGCCATCGTCTGCTTATCTCTGTAAATGTTCACCTTCTTTTTTTTGTTTTATAATATAGATTTGATAGCCATCGTCTGCTTATCTCTGTAAATGTTGTTCACATTTTTATGCTTCTTGTGGTTGTTGTTACCCCGTTAAATGGAACACTAAAACATATTTTTTGACGTTAACAAATTATTACAGGGAGTGAAATTAACGGGAATGAATTCTCCTACAACCGTTATGAATTTGTCATTTTTCAAGTTTTTCAAGAAAAATTACAACTAGCGGAGACCCGCAAAACATTTGCGGTCAAATTAATATCTTTATAAGTTTATTACAACTGTACTTCTTTAGATACAAGATTTCTAAAATACTACAAACGAACTGTAATTGTAGACACCCAAATATGTCGTATATAGGCCGTACTTTATGAAACCTTAACCAATGTTAGTTTTTTTTTTGATAAAGAAATAAATTAATACTAACCTGTGTATGTTTTTTACTTTAGGCTAAGCTTAGTTAGGACTAAACTTTACTGTACTTAATACAATCGATAAATAAACTTATAAGGTTATTATACGACCGAACGTCAAACCTTTTTGAAAACGTTAAACTTCTAATGATGTTGTACAAAATGGTTAGTAAACTATATTTACACCCGCATTGTTGTTATTCCTTCTTTCATAGAGGAATTGTAGTAACTCCTTCACTCAGCTATGAAGCTCTCTGCCGCAGGGAGACTGTTTGTTGTCAAGTCCATAAAGCGCCTGCGCGGTTTTTCTTGAGTGAAATTATTATTGCGTATGCTAATAATGCTGCTGACAAAACAGTATTTTAGTATGACAAGCTGAGGTACTCTTTCTTTGTCTGGATCATGAACTTAAAAAAAATGTGATGGTGGATGCTATGATAAATAACACAAAATCCTAACATTTATACAATTTATTTATAGCATAACATATTGTTACAGTTTTAATTATTACCTCACCAAAAGTTTCATATATGTGTTGCGTATCTGGTCGTTTGTTAATTTCCGGTATAAATTCTTTCCGAGAAACTTCAGCGATACAAGTCTTTTCTTAATTAAAACTAGTTTATTCTTTCTTGATACAACTTTGCAATACACAAAATTTCCACAGTCACTTTAAACTTGACTACTTTTATGAACACACGCTATAAATCACAGTGATTCACGCACTTTACTTACGGTTTGACTCGATTATCTCTATCTTCAATCTCTCTACCTATCTTATATTACTAAAAGAGAGGGCGCCTGGAATAGGCTAGAGTTGCCAGGAAAAGTCATGATCCTTCTAGAAACTCCAGCGCGCATGCTCCCAGCGTCGCGTGACTTCCGCTGTCGTAACACATGGTTTAAGAACTTGGTATGTATATACTTAAAACGTGATATACACTGTCCTATGATCAAGTTGACTTCGTATTAAAAGGTCGCAGCCAAAATAGAGGTGCTTTCAACACCAAGCTCCTGATGTCTTTTCACTGTGTTTCATGTGATTAATTTTTTGACGGTCGTTGGCCGCAGAAGTATCTTACGGGCTGAAGTTGAAACGTAAGGGCTCAAAGTAGGAAGTGGATATAACTCAAGAAACGGCTCTTCATATCAGCCTTATGGTGGCGATTGGAGTAGAAACTTCAGCTGAGTTTATGTATTATTGCGATAGAAGCCGGCAATTTTTATTGCATTCCTCAATCGGGAGTGCTTGCGCAATCTCTGAGATATATAAGACGTTTGTGCGCCCTTCCCACACTTTGTGTATGTTGTGTTATAGAACATTAACCAAAG